GCCCGGTGCCTTGTGAATTCTTCACGTACACGCCGCTGGTCAGCCCGTCAGGAAAAACGCTATAAGTAGTGTTGCACGGACCGTCGGATCTGGCGGCGATTCCTGAATCAAGAATCGGTACAAATTTCATCGACATGCTGTGAATGCGTTCAATCAGAGATGGCAAGTCTCGCCATTTCTCCGAACAACGGTCGTACGTGAAATCTTCGTAGTTGTACATATAGTCGATGTCTACCCATTGACCATCGAGCGGGATGCCGTAGTCGCGCATTCTCTTCTCGACCTCTTCGATGTGCCTCGTGCCCTGGTAACCCCAGCGACAAAGCTGAAAGCCAAGAGCCCAGTACGGTGGCAAAATTGGTCTGCCGATGGCGGAGACGTACCGCTGGATAGCAGAATCGGGAGTTGAGCCAAGGAATACGTAAAAGTCCAAAATGCCCCCGATCGTAATCCATGTTATGGCAGGCGACGGTTGCAGCACGACCTCCATCGCGTTGGAACTCGCCAAAAGTACACCGTGGCTATTGCCAGCCTCATCCTCAAGACACAGGTAGAACGGTTGCACCCCATACAGGTTGTAACTGTTGTTCCAGACTCCCTCGTCACGTGCCCACATCGTCCATCGCCTCCAGTTCATGTCTCTCTTGAACCGGTGTGCCGTCTGCTCACCAAATCCGTAAACGTTGTCTGAAGGCAATTTCACGGTCAGCTGCAGAAACTGGTCGGCAAATGCAAAGTCCCGCTGTGCGCAAGTGTCGAAGATCGCTTTGCCGGTGGACAGTCGAATGACTTTGACGCCGAACGGAGACGAACAGTATTCGACTTTGAAGATGGGTGTGTTCAACCCTTGGTGCCGGCCGGATGGGCGAACCAACGTGTCGTTTGGTACCTCGAACCTAAAATCAAACCGATACAGTAAAACGGCAGTTTTCAGAGAACCGTTAAGTCAGTGCCTTTATAAGCTACGTTCTTGTGCAAAAAAAGGCAAGGCCTAGGGACTTAGTAGGGTACCGTTCGATTAGTTTCATAAGGCAGAGGAAATGTCATTTGAGCTTAATTTTAGTTCTGCATTCGCTTTCAGTGTCATTTTTGCTCAGCTACCAGTTGAACCAGTAGGGATGTTCTTTTGCTAATGCATTCCTTAACGTGCTTCAGTCACAGCTGCCCTGCTGTTAAATGTGAACCTTGGAGAAAGTTTGCAAATGAAGTTAGTATACTAAGAACTACAAGGCTTATATACACATCTTGTGATAAAATCTTACTATCCTCAAAGGCCTTCCTCCATTAGTCTGGCAATTTAAGTGTTACGTTTGTTTGCGTCTCAGCACAAAAAAAAACGGCGCAATCTAGCGTCACTTCGAAAACTGGACATAAATATTTTAGACCTCTAAACGAAACAGTCCGGCAGCTTGATTTAAAGTAATAATTGTCGTCTTTATAATCGTCCAAAGATGGCAAAGCTTGACCACCAAAGTAACCGAGATTTCTGATATCCTAAAGTTGGAGGCTGAAGGACCGGATCACTGAACACATGACTGGTCTCAGGAGAGCAAATCAGAAAGACTCTACCACGGAGAAGCAGAGCATACTAAAGAATC